TTTTTTTTTTTTTGAAGGGTGTCGAGAACCTTGCCACTTGAGACCAGATGTTTATAATGTTAGAATTGTTCATCTTTCATGTACAAAGGGTTATAGTTTTCAAAGAACCAAAATACATTAATTAATGAATGAAGTAAAGAAGGCAAAAGGAAAAGGGCTTAACAGTGCAAAAATCTGGCTCTCTGAAAAGACTAAGGGGTATTCCTTTATAAAGATGACTGCTAAAGGGGTGTCTGGATGGCTTGGTAGGTTAAGCATCTGCTTTGGCTCAGGTCATGATCTCAGGGTTCTGGAATCAAGCCTTGCATCCAGCTCCCTGCTCAGTGGGGAGTCTGCTTCTCCCTCTTCCTGGGCCTCTCCCTCTGCTTGTGCTCTTTCTTATGCACTCTCTCTCAAAAAAATTAATAAAATATCTTTTTAAAAAGATGATTATTGGACAAAAGAAAGTACATATAAAAGTTTATTTTTAATAAATTTGAAAACTATGATAAACTGGATAAATCTTAAAAAGATACAACTTATCAAAACAGACTCAAAAATATAGAAAATATGAATAGATATATGTTTTAGTTTCTATGGCATAATCAATTATTCCAAATCTTGGTGGCTTAAAATAACTGACATTTGGTTTATTTGGGTCAGGAATCCAGACACAGCTTAACTAAGTGCCTCTGGCTCAGAGTCTTTCTTGAGGTTGCAAACCATTGTCTGGGGCTACACTGTTTTTGAAGGCTTGACTGGAGAAGGATTTGCTTCCAAGGTCCTTCACATGGCTATTGGTAGATCTGAGACCTGTCCATAGGACTGCCTTGCAATATAGCAGCTGGCTTCTCCCAAGGCAGTCAATCCTAAAGACAGTAAAATAGAGCACATTCACCCAAGGTTGAAGGCATAGTCTTTTATTTTTAAAGATTTTATTTATTTATTCATGAGAGACAGAGACAGAGAGAGAGAGAGAGAGAGAGGCACCAGCAGAAGGAGAAACAGGCTCCCTGCAGGGATCCCAATGCGGAACTCAATCCCAGGACCCCAGGATCATGACCTGAGCCAAAGGCAGACCCTCAACTACTAAGCCATCCAGGTGCCCCAATATAATCTTTTATAATGTAATTTTGGAAGTGATATCCCATCACCTCTGCTATGCTGTATTCACTAAAACAAGTCACTAAAACTAAGGACCTGATTGCACGAAAGCATGAATCCTAGAAGATGGGGGTCATTGGAGGCCATATTAGAGAGGCATTGCAGGCCAGTAGGGGATGTTGAAATAGAATATAAATGATGCTGGGACAATTAATTGGATATTCATATTTTTTTTTAAGTAGAAGGCAATTGAATTCTTATCTCATCACAAACAAAAGTCAATTCCTGATGGATTAAAGACTTAAAAGTGAAAATCAAGACTGTGTGAAAGAAATCTATTCCAAGTCCCTCCCCATCCCACGGCAGGAGACAAAACTCACAGTTGTCTGCACTTGGCTGTAACTCTTTGTTTTTCTAGGTCGTGGTGCCCTATAGTCTCAGTAGACTCCAACTACAAAACATATTCTTCTCTAGCCTGCTCACAACCCACATCCCAGTGCAGCCCTGGACAGAGTCCCTTAAGAAATCTGCCATCGCTTGCTCTACCTGGCCAAGAGTCTATGCCCTCCACACCGCCCTCATGGGGTCAACTGCAACCCTCTCATATCCTTAAAAACCCTTTAAAAGGCCCAGCCTAACAGAAACTCAGGGCTGACCTTTCTCTAGATGTCTGGCCTCTCCCATCCCTTGGAGAGTGAATAAAGTCTGTCCTGCTTGTTGCTCCACTCTTCATGCAATTATTTGCCGCCCATGTCACCAGGCACCCTAACTCTATGAAAACCCTAAAGACACAAATTAAGTATAATATATGATTTCTAAACAAGATGCAATCATCTCTGGAAGAGATTATAAAGGAAAAGTTTGATAAATTATTCACATTAAATGAACACATTGATTTTATTTAAAAAAAAAAAAAGACAGAGGAGCCGCAGACTAGGAAAAGATATTTGGAATGCATATTATCAATAAAAGACTAGTATCTAGAATACATACAGAACCACTGTGAATCAATTTTATAAAAGTCAAAATACTAAACAGAAAACTGAGTTAAGAAAATTACATAAATCTCCCAAAGGAGGAAACCCAAACTGTCATTAAACAGATACGAAGTTGCTTAAATTTATTAGTAATCAAGTACTGTGATTTCAAAATACAGTGGCCACAATTTCATATCATCAGATTGGCAAATATTAAGAATAAGATCATTACAAAGTGTTGACAATCATGAGATGTGCCATGAATTCTCATCCTCTGAGGATGTGGCTTTAATTGTTAGAATCATTCAGAAAGCAGTCTGGCATCACCTAGCAAATCTGCTATTTGAATTCCCTCCATTTCAGCCATTCTGCTCCTGAATGCATCTTCTAGAGAAACCTCTTTGACCTGTGCTCTAGAGACATGCAAACGAATGTTCATAATAACAAATTAGGAGCCACCTATGTCTTAAAACAATAGAATGAATTAAAAAATAATAAAATGTAAAATTTCAGCCATATGCATCAAAATCAATGAATTTCAAAAACAAGTTTGAAAGGAATAAAGGCAATCATGTATGAGTCTATTTTAACAAATTTCAAAAGCAGAAAAAAACTAAATAATATGTTGTTTAGGGATTCATACATAGTGCTAGATCCATAAATAAAATAAAGATATTTCCTTAACAAGAACAGCTTGCTAATAACTACTGTGAGGATACGATGACAGAAGCACACAAAAGAAACTTCTAGATTATATTCTATTTCCTGTACTGGTTGAAAAGTACACAGGTATCTATTAATATTCTTTAAATTTTATAATATTTTTAAAATATGAAAGATTTCACAGCAAAAATAATTTTTAAGACTGCAATAAATAAGAATGTATTATTAAATTTGTTTTGAATACTGTAAAAATATAAATAATAGATAATATATATATTTACTCACAATCAAAAAAGAATGCAGTCAGCTTAATTTATTGATTATGGAAAACAACACATAATTTATTGATACATAATTTTAACAGGATTTATTATTTTTGATTTGTTCACCAAATATATTTTAAAATACAGATTAAAATTTCATTATATGTTAGGGCATAGAAATGGACAAAAACAGCTTAGGGTAATTACAGATTCTACATAAGCCCAAAATGGCCATGATTCATGACAACCTTTCTAGAAAAGGTCAAAATCAGTAGTTGATGTGATTATGCTGAAGTATGCTGTAACTTTTGGCTCTGTCCTTTGAAATAAATATGTATTTTACATTCATCCAGGGAATTAGAAATGGCAAAAGAAGAACCTCATTATACTAAGTCCTTTGAAAGTTCTGGAGGCTTGGCACATGGGGATTTAGGGGGTTGCTTTTATGGGTAACTAGGAAAGGAGAAGTTAGCCCAATATAGCTAGAAAGAAGGTGATCTGTCTATCCATCAGGCCAAGGACAGCTCTAGTTGCTAGTACTACTCTAATAGCCCAGTTGGCCCAGTTCCTTATTAAGAACTAGTCAGGGGGACACCTGGGTGGCTCAGTGATTGAGCGTCTGCCTTCAACTCAGGGCGTGATCCTGGGATTGAGTCCTGCATCGGGCTCCCCTTGAGGAGCCTGCTTCTCCCTCTGCCTATGTGTTTGCCGCTCTCTCTGTGTATCTCATGAAATTAAGAAAGAAAAAAAAAAGAAGAAGAAAGAAAGAAAGAAAGAAAGAAAGAAAGAAAGAAAGAAAGAAAGAAAGAAAACGAACTAGCTGACTAGAGTCAGTTCCCAGAGTAGATAGGAAATAATTAAAACATGCAAGTGGATGGTCCCACCCAGAGAACTATCACCACTGCCCAACAGAGTTTGTTTCTCTGTGAAGATAGGAGGAGCACAAAGCTCCATGATTTCTGGCACTATTCTCAGAGGGTCTGGTCCCACCACTGAATGAGCTGCAGTCACTCACAGGCATACACACCACCCATCATGTCCTTTAGCACTGAGCAGTCAGACCACAGGCAGCAAGAGGAGATTCACTCTGTCTAGTACCCTGCTAAATTGATGCAAAATCGATGCAATAATCATATCTTGTGACAGATTTTGGTAGACTTGTCAAAATCACATTCCAAGGTGCCTACCCAATTGCTCTTAGCAATTGGGTGTTTTGTGGATGGAAAACGAATGCAGTTACTGATGCTAGCAGGGGGAAGCTGAGTAACTTCGGAGGGGAATGGAGATTGCTTGAATGAGCAAGAATAGTGTTCGTTTACCTTCATGCCTTTGGAAACTGGCCATAAGGATATAAGGAGCAGAGGTATCAGGACATGTCTAGGCATCCGCATGGATCACATCCAGATGGCCCTGCTGCAGTGAAGAGTTCTCAGAAGATGTACTCGAGGTGCTACACAGTCCTCTCACAGATGTGCGTACCTTGTCCCTTAACATCCGTCTTTTCACCACTTACCCCTGATCAGAAATTCACCTTGCACCGTGGTGAGACCCAGCCCATGTCAAATTCCACTCTTAAACCATTATCAACATGTCCTTGAAAAAACTGGTTCTCAAATTCAACTAACCTCTGTGATAGGAATCAGCAAACTATGGCCAGTGGGGCATTATCTCATTTGCTACCTGATTGTGTAAGTAAAGTTTTCTTGGAACAGGTCTCATCCATTTGTTCGTATATTTTTCTATGGCACTTTTCATGCTACCATAGTAGAGTTCAGTATTCACAATAGAGACTATACGGTCCTCAAGGCCTAAAATATATACTATCTGAACGTTTAGAGAAAAATGTTTGCTGATCCCTGGTCTATTAAATGGGGAATATGTCACAGGTTTGTATCAGTTGAATTGCTGCTCAGCTGTCTTCATGGCAGAAAGACAACGGTCATAGATACATGTTTTTAAATTAGTTTAACATACAAAGGAGAAGACAAAAACATCAGCTTTACCCACAAGGGGACTAGTGACCTGAAACTATCTGGCCCGTACCCAGTTTTTTCAAGGCTCCTTTGACATCTTTGTTTCTCAGAGTGTAGATTGTGGGGTTCAGCATGGGGGTGACTACATTGCCAAAGATTTGCACTGGGGTTACGAGTACCTCGCTCAAAGATGGCTGGGTATAGATGAGGGCACAGGGCCCAAAGAACAGTGTGACCACCGAGAGGTGGGAGACACAGGTAGACGCTGCCTTGCGCCTCCCCTCAGCAGAGTGCATCTTTAGGATTGCAATGACAATGCGGATGTAAGAGGCAAGGATGAGCAGAAAACACATCATGGGCACAAGGCCGATGTTGGTGAAGCTCACTGTCTCAATGATGAGGGTGTTACCACACGCCAATTTGACTACAGGAAAGATGTCACAAAAGAAATAGTCTACCTCATTAGACCCACAGTAGGGCAGTTGGAAGGTCAGCGTGGTGAGAATTGTGGCGTGAAAAGAGCTAGTAAACCAGGTGCCAGCAGCCAGCAGGGCACACACCCGGCGGTTCATGATGGTGGTGTAACGCAGTGGGTGGCAGATGGCAGCAAACCGGTCATACGCCATCACCGTGTAGAGCAGACACTCAGTGCTGCCGAGGAAGTGGTAAAAAAAGACCTGAGACATGCAGCCCCCCAGGGAGATGACTCGGTTCCTCACCAGCAGGTTGGCCAACATCTTCGGTGTGCTCACAGAAGAGAAGCCAATATCTAGCACAGAGAGGTTACAAAGAAAGAAATACATAGGAGTGTGGAGGTGGGAGTCAGACATCACAGCCACAAGGATGAGCAGATTTCCTAGTAGGGTGCAGAGGTAGAAGACGGAGAACACAACAAAGAGCATGGTTTCTTGCCCTTCTGTGTGTGGGATGCCCAGCAGGATGAACTCTGTAACCAAAGTGTGATTCCTCACCTCCATAGAAGTTAGACTTTATTCTGGAAAGGAGGAAACAATAAGTTAGTGGCCCAAGGAATGAAATCGCACTGCTTGCTACCAGTAGATTGACAAAAGGAAATGTAATCATATGCTCTGTCAGTGAAAAGATAATGCGTATAGTTATTTGGACTGGGGGCAGCAAATGCCTCAGGAGGACGTGTGGTCTCTGGGGTGAGGACACAATGCAGGCAACTTGACTGGTCCATAGACAGGTATTATTTTATTATTATCAGATGGAGAAGAACAAAATACAAAGAGCATAGAAGTTTTGAGAACTGAGAACAAAGAGGAAAGACGAAAGAAGGAAAAGAAAATAAGATAGAGAAAAGAGGAGGAAACAAATTAGACACATTTATAGTTTACATAGAATATTCACAACCATTTGCTTCTGGAGCTTTAAAAGAATCCTCGAAGTCAAGTGTAATATCTCCATTTCATAGATGATAATGGAATGATGATTCAGGGAAGTTAAATAACTTGCTCAGATCCTCAGATACAGATCATGACAGATCCAGAATTGGGACCCAAGGATTCTAAATGCATTATACCATAACTGGAAAAAAGGAAAAAATAACTATAGAAATGCAGATAAAAGAAAAATCAATGTATTCTCTGAACTGAAAGGGTCTTAGTGATAATTTAGCTCAATCACTGACTTTTTAATTTGGATTTCTCCGTAAATGTCCTTGCCAAGTGGTCCTTGAACTCCTTTCTAATCATTCTTAGGTTAATTCTATCCTTTTGTCTATTATTGTTCAACAGTTCAGACAGCTATGCAACAAGGAAGGTTGTCAATGCTTCTTTGTTTCAGTCAATGTGCTCAAACATCTCAAGAACAATCAAAGCAACTTTGAGAACACTCTGACCTAAAATCGAACTTTTTCATATGTCAAACTACGAGGAAGAGTTTCATCCTGGTTTCTGCTAAGTGCTGGAACCATTCTTTTTTTTTTTGTTTTATTTTGTTTCTGCAAAATCACAGATCCTTACATATATGGCTTAAAGGTTTCCAGTTTCATCATTTTAGTATTTACACATCACCTGAGCCTATTAAAGTATCTTTGTGTTGGGACGCCTGGTTGGCTCGGTCAGTTAAGAGTCTGCCCTCAGCTCAGGTCATGATCCTGGGGTCCTGGGATCAAGCCCCGCATTGGTTTCCCTGCCACTCCTCCTGCTTGGACTCTCTTTCTCTCAAATAAATAAAATCTTTTTTTTTTTTTTTACATAAAGCATTTTTGTGGATTTTGATTCTGTCATCCAGTATAAACTGTGTTCTTTTCCTCCAAAAGCAGAACAAAGTAGCCAGGACAATTAAGCAAAAAAACAAAACAAAACAAAAATAAAAATGGACAAAAACATAAAAAACAACAAAAACAACAACAGCAAAACATTCAAATTGGAAAAGAATAAGTAACATTTTGTAGATTACATGATCTTCTGTATAGAAAACCTGAAAGACTCCACACACACACAAATAGCCACCACAAGTGAATGGATGAAGAAAAGGTTGTACATACATGCAATAGAATATTCTTCTGCCTTTAAAAAACGAGATAAGTGTAACATGTGGCCACATGATTGGACCTTGAGGACATTAGGCTATGTGAAATAAGCCATTCACAGAAGGACAAACAAACAGATTCCACTTTCATGAAAATCTAAAATAGTCAAATTTATAGAACCAAAGAGTGGAATGATGGTTGCCAGGTAGGGAGAAGGAAATGGGGATTTACTAATCAAACCACATCAAGTTTTGTGTAAGCAAGAGGAATAAGTTCTAGAGATCTGCTGTACAGCGTTGTACCATACTCAATATTCTGTATTACACACCTGACAATCTGTTAAAGGGGTAGATCTCATGATAAGTCTTCTGACCACAATACAATAAACTTAAGGGAAAAATATTTCTAAAAATGAAAACAAAAGGATCACACAGGAACACCTGGGTGGCTCTGTCAATTAAGAAACAGTCTTTGGCTCAGGTCATGATCTCAAGGTCCTGAGATAGAGCCCCTCATTGGGCTCTCTGCTCAGGGTGGGGAGACTGCTTCTCCCTCTCCTCTGCTCCTCCCCCCGCCCATGCTTTCTCTCTCTTTTTCTCAAATAAATAAATAAATAAATAATCAATCTTTAAAAAAAAGGATCACAGACTAAAGGGAAAATCAATGCAAACAATTAAATTAATATGATACAGTGTAATAATTATAGCATTAAAGATATATGTCTATTATAGTTAAAATATGATTAATACTTCCTGTTGGAGTTTTGAGGAAAGTCTTCACACAGAGTATCCAGGGTGTGTACTGTAAGAGGCACTATATGAAGGAATAAAATCTTCGGATTTTAATCAGCCATGCAAATGTATGAGCTTCGTGCTTAAGATAAATGACTTTGATAGCAATGTATAGGGTTTTACAGGGGGAATAGTTTAGACCTAGAGAGACAAGATGAAAATCTAAAGCAACCACTCAGGCAAGGGAGGAAGAAATAATAAATTCACATATACTTATGAAGTGAATTAATGTCTTAGTAAATAATGGAAAGACTAGGGACACCTGGGTGGCTCAGTTAAATATCTGCCTTCTGTTCAGATCATGGACCCCAGGGTCTTGGGATAGAGCCCCATGTCAGGCTTGCTGCTTAGCAGGGAGTCTGCTTCTTCCTCCCCTTTCCCTTCTGCTTCACACTCTCTCTCACAAAACAAAAAATACAATCTTTAAAAAAGACTATGTGGATGGTAGTGCTATTAAACGAAATATGGAATTAAGTGAATTATAGAATTAAAAACTGATGATGTTCAAAAGCAGTTGGATGTATGACTCTGAAACTAAAAAGAAGCTCAGGGGTAGACATGTAACCAAAGAGTGGAAGATTACTCCTTGAATGTACAAAGTAGAAGAGTGCTAAAGATAAAACACAAGAAAAGGGCTGGGAGCATCTGAGAATTGTGGGGAGTTCTGAGGCCATTTTTCACTTCTTCCCCTTACCACTCCCCAGATTATCCTGTAACTCAAATGAACTGTTAAAATCAGTGTATTACAGGGCAGCCCGGGTGGCTCAGCGGTTTAGTGCCCCCTTCAGCCCCGGGAGTGATCCTGGAGTCTGGGGATCGAGTCCCACATCCGGCTCCCTGCATGGGGCCTGCTTCTCCCTCTGCCTGTGTCTCTGCCCCTCTCTCTCTCTTTGTCTCTCTCTCTCCCTCTCTCTGTATCTCATGAATAAATAAATAAAATCTTTAAAAAAAATTAGTGTATTACATGGCCAACAAGCACAAGAAAAAATGCTCCACATCACTTAGCATCAGGGAAATACAAGTCAAAACCACAATGAGATACCACTTTACACCAGTTAGAGTGGCTAAAATTAACAAGACAGGAAACAACAAATGTTGGCAAGGATGTAGAGAAAGAGGAACCCTCTTGCATTGCTGGTAGGAATGCAAGCTGCTACAGCCACTCTGGAAAACAGTGTGGAGGAGCCTCAAGAAGTTAAAAATAGAGTAACCCTATGACCCAATAATTGCACTACTGGGTATTTACCACAAAAATACAGATGTAGTGAAACAACAGAACACTTGAACCCCAGTGTTCATAGCAGCAATGTCCACAATGGCCAAACTGTGGAAGGAGCCACGATGTCCTTCTACAGGTGGATGGATAAAGAAGATGTGGTCTATGTATATAATGGAATAGTACTCAGCCATCAGAATAGATGAATACCCACCCACCATTTGTTTCGACATGGATGGAACTGGGGAGGGTATTATGCTGAGTGAAATAAGTCAATCGGAGAAAGACAATTATCATATGGTCTCACTCATATGTGGAATATAATAGTAAAAGGGACTATAAGGGAAGGAGGGAAAACTGAGTGGGGAAAAGTTAGAGACGAAGTCAAACCCTGAGAGACTCCTCACTCTGGGAAACAAACAAAGGGTTGCAGAAAGTGAGGAGGATGGGGGGATGGGGTGATTGGGTGACCGGTACTAAGGAGGGCACTTGATGGGATGAGCACTGAGTGCTATATGTATGTCGGCAATTTGAATTTAATTTTAAAAATCAGTGTATTGGGCAGCCCTGGTGGCGCAGTGGTTTTGCTCCGCCTGCACACGAGGGTGTGATCCTGGAGACCCGGGATCGAGTCCCACGTCGGGTTCCCTGCATGGAGCCTGCTTCTCTCTCTCTGCCTGTGCCTCTGCCTCTCTCTCTCCTCTTTGTGTATTCTCATGAATAAATAAATAAAATCTTAAAAAAATATTATCAGGCAGTAACTTCTGGAGTTAAATAGAGATCTTATGAGGTCTTGGGCTAAGTGTGAGTCATGTGATTATTGTTGGTCTATTTTAGGATATGATTTCTTTAAGCTTTTTAGAGCTCAGTCCAGATTCTGTGTTGGAGAGGAAAAGGAAACGGCTTATACAGTTGTATGGCTTCAGCTTCACAGGGTAAGTCAAACACTTCACTGGACATAGAAGACTATAAGATGAGTGTTAATTTCATGTAAGATAGTATTGAAGTGAATTTCACAAAATGACACATTAAATAATGCTAGTCTTGTGCATGACTTTCCAGAAATAAGGGCTGTAAATATGTTATGACAGTGACTTCAAATTTCTTCTCTTCAGCAAGTACCCAAATCCATGAGAACAATTATGTACACCAAGGGATAACAATCCAGGAGCCTAAATTTTAAGGTTCCAATGGTTAATCCTATAGTACAATTCCTTAACTGTAGACATGTCCTTACCATCATGAGACAAAAGAGGACCATGGAGTAGGCTTATATATTGGAACTCATGCAGAATAAAATCTTAGATTATTCACTCTGGAAGGAAGCAAAAAGATGATCTCAGCTTGTGCCTCAAATATTACATGAAGAGGTGAAAATCAAGAACAAAAAAATTTGCCCAATGTCATAGATTCAGGATCAGAATTTAGGTCCAAGGTAGGTGTGATTCTGAACCAGTTATACCTAATCCCTTG